TTGTCAAAGAAGAGCTTTTTAAGAAACTCCCTCCATTTCTCATTATCTGTTTCTTTTCAAGGCCCATCCTCTCGCTCTGTCTGAGTCGCGTTCTCAGTTCAACTGCTCGGCATGTGACCGCTCCTTTCCTCTGCTCTCCTCTCTGCTCAACCACCAGCACTCCCACACTCCCGAGCAGAGGCTGCTTGCTGAGGCAGAGGCGGAAGTAGAGATCGTCTGTCCCTCTCTCTCACTGCCCCTGCCCTCCTTAAAAAGAGATGGTGAAGATGGAGAGAGAGAGATCCATGTCAGTCTAATTGCTGTCACAGAGGAGGGAGAGAGACGAACTGTGAAGCCATCTGCCAAAGCATCAGGGAAGGGAAGCAGGAGAGGTGGAGGTAGCAAGACATCTGCCACAAATAACGGTAAGGGTGCTGCAGTGGATGTTAAACCATTTGTTTGGTTTATATTCAAAATCTGGCTTCTCTGACTGTGAGGTTTATTTATTCTCATTTATTATACATTTATGCTATTTGTTCTCAAGCTTTTGATATATGAGGACCTTACATCTTTGTATTAAAAACACCCATTTGATACATGAGACATAGTCTCACACAACGTGATATTTATCTCACGACGATGTTTCTGATTATATTCCCTATAGAGAGGCCATATCGCTGCTCTGAATGTGGGAAGTCATTTAAAGGTTCATCAGGACTTAGGTACCATATGAGAGATCACACTGGGGAGAGACCGTATCGATGCACAGAGTGTGGCAAGAGCTTCAAAAGGTCCTCACTGCTCTCCATACACCAAAGGGTAAACACAGCTGCTTTTCAACTTGATGTTTTGATTTGTTTCTGCGCAAGAGCAATGCAGAAAAAAGAAAGAAGTATACTTTGCATTAATAAATCAAAACTGTGATGTATTTGCTACATTAATTACATTTTAAATATTTTTAAATAAATTGCATGGAACACAAATGTGAATGTGTTTTGATGTACTCTTAATTTTTTCCCTGTTCATTTAGAATTCATTTATTATTGATCATAATACATGTCATAAAAAGGGAATGGATCTGTCAAGTTTCAAAGGCACCATGAAAGTATCCTAAAAGTTGTCTTTACTTGTGCAGTATAGTACAAGTCTTTTATAGTACCAATTTTGTAATAGAAATAAAATTAAATAAGAAATTAATATCAGAAATAAACATGAATAGCTAAACAAACAAACATACAAAAACATCCACATCCTTGACGTACACACTAGTTCTCCTTGGCGTCAACCAGTTATATCTTTTGCATTACAATCGTTTGATCTGGTTTAAAAAAAAAAAGGTCTGAATAGTTAATTCATGGGCTGATCCAATTCACAAGTTCAACTTACTGACACAATGATTTGGTTGCAGCAGTTAGCAGCTCACTAAAGGAAAGCTTATTTCGTTTTGTATCTCTTAAGCTATATAACGAGTCATAAAACTTAATTTATTATACACTTATTATGCTTTTATGGTGCTTTTGTGTGTTTTTAAGTTGAAAAGTTCCACTTAATTTTAAGTGCATGGCAATTGACCAGTAGATATTCACATAATTAAAATTTTGGGGGGAAGTATTACTTGAATTTTGTTGATGTTTTCAAAATCAGCTAAAAACCAAGATAAATATTAAAACATCTTGAAAATTGTTCTTAACCCATATAGGTCCACACAGGTGTGCGGGCTTTTCAGTGCCCCTACTGTCCACTGACCTTTAAATGGAGCTCACACTACCAGTACCATCTTCGCCAGCACACCGGTGAGAGGCCATATGTATGTCAGGAATGTGGAAAGTCTTTCAAGAACACCAGCTGTCTCCGTCGCCATAGTCAGCTCCATTCTGGCCTACGTCCACATGCTTGCTCTGTGTGCGGTAAGGCTTTCTCTCAGACCTCCAACCTCAAACAGCACGAACGGACACACTCTGGAGAAAGGCCCTTTCAGTGCTCCCAGTGCCACAAGAGCTTCACCCACTCATCTAATCTGCAGCTGCACCTACGCACACACTCCTCGCGCAAGGACTTCAAGTGCCAACACTGCGGAAAAGAGTTTGTCATGCTCTCCTACCTGCAGAGGCACTTGAGAACTCACAGTTCTGGGGGTGCAGTAGCGTGTACAAAGGAAGCAGGAAAGGTGGCTAAAGGTATTGGGCCTTCAGAGACAGCAACGCTAAATTTAAACTTGAATGTACCTGGAGGGCTTACCTCATTGTTTCCTAGTGATGGCAATTCCACGTTGATTCTTTCACCCCCAAATCTTGACATACCTCCAAACACATCACAGAATTATTTTATGATCCAGACAACTTCAGGGCTGCAACTAATCCCACTCTCCAATCCCACTCCAACACAGCAAGCCCCTCCTCCACCACCCCCTCCTCCCCCACCACCTCCACAGACACAGAATTTTCTGCTACTTCAGTGCCAGTCTAACAATGGTAACCAGCCTAGTCTGATCCTGGTCCCCACAGCATCCGGTACAAACACTCTTCCCACCTCTTCAGAACCACAGACCCTCCCCTTGCTGCAGACCATTCAGGCAATGCCCCAAGTTTTGGCGGCACCCCAAACTCAAATTCAGCAATTTCAACCAGTTCAGACACAGCAGAGATTTATTTTGACCAATAATAATGCTCCCCTCATCACTGCCCAGCCTCAAAGCACATCGACGATGACTCGTCCGATTTTAGGAAGCCTCGGTCGTAGCAGGAAAGGTGGAAATAGGCGTGGACGGAAGCCTAAAGCTGCTACCCCAAAATCCCCTCCTACTGTTCAGACTACACTAGTCAAGCAACCATTTATGTTGTCAGCTGCTACTCCCACATCTACTACGATATCCAGTGCCACTTCTGCTGCTTCTGTAAAGACCGAGTTCCCGCAGCTTAATTCTAACAATCCACTGACTGTGTCGCCTGTCAGCAATAGCCAAGTACCTGAAAATCCTTCTGTCCCTGCAGTTAGCATTATGTCGGTGACGCAAAACTCTACACTAGCAAACAGTTCCGCTGTGTTGAACGGTGATCCTGAGAGTGTTCCAGTCGAGGAGAAAGCTGTCGAAGAAATTCCAAGGGAGCGTTTTGTTCTGTGCCTAAAGAAAGAAATGGAGAATGGAGATCAGGGGGGTGGGATGGAGGTGAAGGTGGAGATGGAGGGAGGGAACGATGCAGGGCAGTCTTATGTCTTACAGATCGAAGGTGAGGGCCAGGGAGAAGAGGGAGGGAATAGTGGGGGAAGAGAGAAGTCATATGTTCTCCGGTTTCAGACAGAGGGAGAATGCGAGGGTGATGCAGGAAAAGAGAAGACCGAAATGGTCTCTCTTAACTTACTTCAAGAGTGGGCTGGACAGAGTGAGGGGCATGGAACTGCAAATACTGAGGTAAATGTTGAAGTAGAGAAGTCATTTGTGCTTCATTTCCAAACAGAGTCTCCGGGTGAGGAGAACATTCAACCAGGCTCAGGCTACATAGGATGCCCAGGTGAGGATCTCAGCCTTTCTTGCCACCCGGATCAAGCTTTGGTGCCTCTGGAAGGGCAGGATGTGGTGTTTGAGCTTGGTGATGAAACAAAAATTGATGGAAGCACAGGTCCAGGGGACAGTGTTCAAATGATTGCACTGATAGAAGATGATGGCAACGGTTCTGGGGCAAGGGGCAGTTTTAAAAGTGCTGTTGGGGCAAACTCTGGGCAAATGGAGGGAATCTTCCAATTAGAAGGAGGAGAAGGCATTGTTATAATTGAAGTTAGCACCAGCAGTTTGAGAGAGGGTGGAATAGAGGCAGCAGATGTAGGTCATAGGTTAGTGGAAGGAACTGAGGAAAAGCAAAATAATGATGCACAAGGAGTACGAGAGGAAGTAATGTCAGAAGAGTCAAAAGTTGCTGAGGCTGAGAGCATATCATCAGAGATGGGACTGATTGGAATTTAGGGCTGAGTATGGATTAAATCTGATATTTGAGCTGGCTTTAACACAATTCACACCTCATGACACTGTTTCACATGCAAAACTACAAGTGACACGTGTTTACCAGATATACAAATGTTTTAATTTCAAGTAATGGTTCTGTCATTCTAAAGTGTTTCTTTTTGAACTGTGAATAATGGTTTTAAAGATTAGGAAGCTGATGACAGTGCTGTAGCTGTAGGACTGACACAGGACCTATGTTAATCTTACATAAATCATTTGAGAATTGTGTGTTGCATACATAGACATCCTTAGAACACCACCGTGTCTTCTTCTTAAGCTGTTGTCCCCCCAAGACTGCACTTTGTGGGGATAAAGCACATAGCGGTTGTTCACCTGGCCCCTACGGAGAACCGTAATCATCGAATTCAGCCCAATCAAAAACAATGGTTTCTAAATGAAGAAAATCCCTGGTGTTCTTCTACATCCAGGGTGCACTGAAAAAAGAATTTATAAACTAATATGAAATATGATATGCTGTCATGTTGACAGTTACTGTACAAAGTGAACTTTTGTAAATATGTCTACTCTGTTTCTTAATATTGGTACTAGATGACAATTACCAATAAAAATAGGTATGAATGTCATTATTTGTGTTTGCTGTTTTATTAATTTCTCAGAATTTACAAGTATATTCAGATTACTTCATATGTAGGTACATTTTTGGTTAGATTTAATGAATACATTTAATTTTCCATTTTGATAAGGATGAAAATTCTTTTACAGACAGAGATGAGCTGCCAACTTTTACTTTTTTCAATAAAGGCTGTAACAACAACACCATCATCATCCAGGTGGATGCTGCACATTGGTGTTGGTTGAGGAGATGCCCCTTCCATGTAAAGCGCTTTGAGTGCTGAAAAAAGCTCAATATAAATGTGATGAATTATTGTTATCATCCTTATTATTATAACGCCTCAAGTCAAATCAATCCATACAGTGCGCATGCGCTTTAGCGTCGAAAGGTTAAACCGCTACGTTCGCATCCACACTACGCAGTTTGCGCAGGCTCGTATTCCCGGATGGGGATTGGTTGAAATTATTACATTCCATGCGGGAAGACAACGCTGAATCCTTAAGTCCTTCAAACACTACAAGAAACATCGACTACAGAGGAGGGTATTGCTTTTCTTTTAAAGCAAACCCTGCGTCTCTGAATATTAGGTAAGTAGGTCACGCATGCTCTATATATGATAGCCATAGATAGAGCAATAAAGAAGGCGTCGTTTACCATATAAGGGTTTAAATTGTGTCACCAGGGTTGACGGAGCAAGCTAACGGTAACGTTACAGCATTCTACTTAAACCTGTTAAATGCTTCATGAACAGTTGCACAACCTGAAAGACAAACAAGCCATGAGAGTTTTTTTTTATTTTTGATAAATTTTGGAGATGTAATTACCCATAAGGAAGTCATACATAAACCACAAGTCTATCACTTTAAATTTGTCTTTATTTGCATATTCCTACGAGAGTTTCCTGTTTCTTGCAGTTGAGTTCTCTGAAATAAAATGAAAATCTAGAGTGAATTCAGATTTCCCTATTTTAATGTTTAACATAAGGCATGACTGTTTTATTTATTTATTTTTTGATAATGTCTCTTAGGTAAGATGGTTAGATTGGATCTTGGTGAGGTAGTCCTGAAGAGGATGCAGGAGAAGGACATTGAAGCTGTTAAGGCTCTCATCAAGGTGCGATTCAACATGATATCCCTCATGGGCTGTTATTTTTTCCTCCTTCTTCATTTGTCATTTCTCCCAGTTTATATTTCATCTTAGGCCACATGCAATTTTCAGTGATAAGAATCTCTTAATTTTAGCAATATATAAGAACTACACAGATAGAAATTAATAGGAGATAGGCCTACACCATTGAGGGGTTATTTATGTGTTATTTCTCTACACCAGTGTGAAGTATATTAAACAAGCCAACATTGAATATGTTTGTTGGATATTTGCACACTATCAATGCTTTTAAATCCTTTAGTATTAGACTGTTGTGTTTTTGTTGTCGTTTATTAGAGAGCAATACATTTTCATTATTTTATATATTGTGAAAGATTAAATTATTCAGCTTTAATGAAATATTCACTGTCTGAAAAAAACAATAATAGATTTTGGAAGTGACTGAAACAGTGACTTGTTAACAGTCTTTGTTGTTTAAAAGACTTGTTAAAGCAAGAATACAACATGATTTATTGATTTAAATATATACTGTAATTTGAAAATATCTTTTTTAATATGGTTAAAAATAATGTGTTTGTGTTTTGTTGATGCTATATGATGAAATGGATAAGTGGACAAATGATTCTGCAAAAAGTTAGAGATTCTCAAATCGCTCTTTCTCCTCTCATTCTATCTCTGTTTGCAGGAAGGATGCGAGGGGATGGAGAACCGCCTGATTCTTCACCTTCTGACCCGTCCGCTTGCTCTCTTCATGCTGGCCACCCTGTCCTCCATCCTCCGCTGTGTGCTGCACTCTTTTATCTTGGCGTTGGTCATTCCCGTCTTCATCCTCATCATCTACCTCAAGCTCACCATCCCGCGATCGGTGGGCATCTTGGGCTCCAGCAGGCCGTATTGGGACTACGTGGGCAGCAGTTACCACACAGACACCGAGCCAGATCTACCCAATCCTTACTTCAACCGAGCCAAACTGATCACCAACCAGGAGAAAACCAGACGCCGTAAAAAAGCCAAAGAGAAGAAGACAAACGAGAGAGAGCAGGTGGATGAGGATGAGCTGAAGGAGAGGGCAAAGGTTGCTGGAGAGGTGTGGGTTGCAGACTCTGACGGGGAGATAATGGGATGCGTGGCTAGAGACGGTTGGAGTCGGGACGGTGTTTGTAGGATCTGCAGGCTGGTGGTCCAGTCCTGGTACCGCAGAGAGGGACTGGGCAGATTGCTGGTGCAGGGCCTGGAGTCCAAAACAAAGCAGAGTGGCATACGGCGGGTCTACGCCCACGTGCCATTTCCTTCCAGGGTGGGAGAAGCTTTCTTCAGGAGGCTGGGTTATCGTCTGCAGGGTGAGACTGCAGGGACTGAGGGAGAGGAGGAGGATGAGGATTATGAAGAGCCAGAGAAGGGTTGGCTAGGGTTCCCTTTAACTAAAGTGTTTGTTAAGGATCTATAAGTGTCATTGAAACTAAAGACTTTACAGATAAACAAAGGAATATACTGGATTCAATACAAGTTAAGCTCAATCAACCTGTGGTTTAATGTTAAATGCGACCACAAAAATAATTTTGACTTTTGATTTAAAGGTAAAAATGTGAAGCTAATAATTTTATAAAAGCAATTGAATTCCTCTGTTAAAATGTGTATAATGTGAGCTGTAAAGTTGTTTAAATAATCCTTTTTACAGTCTTTTATGTTTTATGGAGTTATGTTGTCATGTTGATGAAGTTGAATAGTCATTGGACATTCAACCTGAAGTTGAAGTTGTATATAACTTTATACAGAAAAGGTTAGTAAGCAATTTTTTCCCACACTAAAATCATGTTAACATGAATGCTGTTTACATCTTGTGGCTATACTATTGAAACAGTGAGTATTTTGCCATTAACCAAGTATTTTACTATATTTTACAATTGGGCTACTTCACTTCCATTGTAAGTGCCTCACTGTAACCCAGATTTTTGCCGTCATGGATCAGAAGTAGTGACATCTTTTCTTCTGTATTGTGTCGTACATCCTAGTGTTACAGATTATCGAAAAAGACTAGTTAATGTTGGGGACTTCTTAGTTGTTAGTGAATAGGATTTGTTGATTAGTTCACAACAAGATCAATAACATGCATTTACAAAATAGATTTTCATCTAATGGCAACTTTAAGGATATTTTGACTTGTCCCTTGTTGTGTTTTGTTGTGGTAATCAACATTGTGTGCTGTCAGTTGTCACAATCACTTGTCTTGAACCTGGAATATTCCTTTGAAAATGCTTAGATTTCAAATGTATAAATGGATTTGTTCATTTTCATATCGTCCCAGCGAATCACTGACACTAGTAATCATTTATATTGTTGCTTAAGAGAATTGTAATGTTGAACATTACAGAATGATCACTGGGTTTCAAAGCCAGAGCCATGAAGGCGTCAGTCTGGCTGAAAGGACAATCAGTCATCTTGTTGTTTGTAGCATGGAATTGCTTTTGAAGAGATTTTTGTAGGCTTTTTTTTAACTGGACAAGTGATTTACATGTGCTTTCCTTATTTGTTTACCTTATTTATTATATTGTATAAGTGAATTTGAGTTTTGTGAAAACATTTTGTTTGTTTCCCTTGACTGTTGAATAAAATTAAGCTCAAGGTGTACAACCTTTTAATGTGTTTCTACCAGGCATGGTTATCTGTTTTTCTGCTTCACCGATCTTTCTATACCAAAATATCTGTGGTTTAGCTGCACTGAAAATGCTCTGATAAATTTCACCAGAAGCAAACCTAGACACATTGTACAAACTCATTGCAAATTGAGTTCAATCTCATATCCAGCCCGATTACTTTAAATTTGCTGCAAAACACATTGCAAGTACAGTTAATTCCCGCATGCTACTCTAAATGTGTGTGGGTGGATACAGTTTTGTGATGCTGAGTGTATTTGAAACTAAGAGCTGCTCATGCTGTGTGGTTAGCTTAAAAACACCAGCTCTACCTTAACCACTCACACTACTACCCAACAGCATGTAAGGCTGCTATTCACCACCGGATGTTCATACAGTTCACTGTGTGGTCGGCTTGATGCTCACCTGCAACAGAAAGCTGCACTGTCACGTTTAAGGCTTTTGCTGCTAATTTAAACCTGTTTTACTATTGTTTTAAAAGCACATCCCTGTGAAAAAGAAGTACACTTTAAAAAGAATACTTAATAGGGAAATAAAATAGTTTAAAAGAATATTCTTTAGTTAAACAATGCAATGTTAATAGCAATTTAATGAACATTATTATAGTTAAAATTTATATTAAATGCAATTAACTGAACTTAGAGGGCGTTTCTGACCCATTTAAATACGTATATATAGTTTCCTAATTCTGTTTGAAATATGTTTAAACTAAAATGTACTGTCAAATGTACTGACAAGCATTTGCAGTAAACTAAAATATGCTTTGATGTAATTTCTATTGAAACTTTTATCTAATGTATTTAAATATATTTGTAATTATACATATGTAAGTTGCAATTTAGTACATTTAAAATATATTCATTTGAAATATAATATCGAATAACACTACAGTTCACGTGTTTTAGTCAACACGTCAAAAGTGCACTTATTATTTTATAAGGTAATATTGTCACTCAACTTTCAGTTTGAACACACACTATACAACAAAACGTCAAAGAATAGTGCTTAAGTACACAAATTGGGATGCAACATATATTCGAAAAACAGTAGGCCTAGGCAAAAAATCCCCAGATGACATACTACTTCTGTATTATGAAGTGCGCATTCGATGGACACTTTACCATCCCGTGAGGCCACAAGAGAGGATTTATGAAACTGAAGCTGTATAGGTCGCGTGACAGTAACAACATGGCGGATGTAGTACGTCCGAATTTCATTCATAGTGTATAGAACAAACTTATTTAACGGTGTATAGAACATACTTATTTAACGGCCGTGTAGTAAATTAAAACTCAAATAACTCAGACAGTATGCGATTTCGGACGCAGCGATAGTAGTGAAAATGTGCTCTCTTATGTAGAATTCTATTTAATTAAGATTATATTATCTTTAAGTACAGTTTAAAAAAAAAATAACTACTCAACAAGTGCACATTCAATACAATTACGCACACTTTTTTAATAGCATATTTACAAGATGGGACTTTTAACTATTAAAATAGATTATTGAACCAACTAAACAATGTAAAGTGATAAAACATGTTGAATACTATGTAGGCCTGTTGTAGGCCTACTAATTTTTCTGGTTTTGAAATTACTTTACAGTACACAGTATTATGCACGTTTAGGTTTTTAATACAGTTTCAGGATGATTTGAATTGCTACCTGAAACCTTTTTCTTTTATCGAACCCTCTTCCCATTGAGATATCTAAATGAATCTATAGAAGTAGATCCATAACGCTATTTTTTCTTCAGACAGTGCCGTGTCTGTCATGCACATGTACAAATCTAATGTAAAAACCTATTTTAGTACCAGCCACTAAGATTTTATGGGCTGCAATTGTGTTAGTCAACTAATGAGCACAATTACTTCATCTTTCCTTTTGGTAGCTTTTGCAAGTCATAGTGGCTGGTTTGTTGTGGAGGAGCTTTTGTTATAATGTACAGAGCAGCTCAGGCAATTGAACACCTGCTACTATATCCCCCTAACTGATGTGTAACTATTATTGTCGCCAGGAAACAGATGTGAGTTCATGACACTGGAAAGTAAGTGTGTTTGGAGTTGTGGTTGAGTTTGTCTGCACGATGGGCTTCACTCTGTGTGTCTGTGTGTGTGTGTGTCTGTGTGTGTGTGTGTGTGTCTGTGTGTGTGTGTGTGTGTGTGTGTGTGTGTGTGTGTGTGTGTGTGTGTGTGTGTGTGTGTGTGTGTGTGTGTGTGTGTGTGTGTTCGGAAAATATGACTTGGCATTTCCGACCAAGATTCGATTAATGTGTTGTGCCCCTTGACACAATGTGGTGGTCTTCATTACCCACCATCAGCAAGAGATGGAGGAAAGTGGGCTTTGGGTCACCTGTGAGAACCAAACGTTAAAAATTCTGTCATCGTTTAATTCATGTAGTTCTTTCTTCTGCGGAACACATAAGAAGATGTTTTGAAAAACGTTTTTAGCTGTTTTTGTCCTCACAATGAAAGTCCAATGGGGTCCAAAACAACATCAGATCCATCTGACTTTCAAGGTATTGACAAACAAACTGAGACTATCTTATTTTGTGCTTCAGAGAAGAAAGACATGCTTGTAACAACATGAGGATGAGTTAATGATGACAGAACTTTCATTCTTGGCCAAACTGGCCTTTTATAATAATAATTGTCAGTGTATTTTATAAGATTTATATTTGTCTTTTCTTGATAATGCACATTAAAGCAAATTATTATCAGATTAAAAAAAAATCATGAGAATCAACTTTAATGGGAGCAGGACCTACAGTATATTCTTTTCTCTGTTTTCCCAAGTTCTACACACATAGCGCATTGTGGTAAGACCTCAGAAAGACTTGTGGTCGGAAGGTAAATCATGGGAGCAGACAGATCTCTTCCAGATGTTCGAATTCAGACATACACTTACACACACTTAGAGAGGGAGCTCATTGAGGAGCGGTGATTTCCCTGGCCGCAGAGTGCATGAGAGGGTGAAGTAGAGTGACTGGAGACAGACAAACACACGGGATGCCAACTTTAAAGTCACCAGGAAAGAGTCAAAGACAGTTGCAGACGGAAACAAATTAATTTAGCACGCAGTAGATGTGTTACTCTCCTTCCTTAACCAGGCAGATTTGCCGGGCCCTCTCGCTATCCCTGTGCGCTGGTGTGCTTGCTTGTGTGAAGGTTAAGTGGCTTTTTGGAAAAAAAACACTTGGGTTGTGGTGACCTCCTGTAGTAAAACACCCCCCCCTTTTATTCCCTGTGGGAAAAACTAAACAAGTGGAAAGGGTGCGGATGGAGAAAATCTGAGCAAGAGAGAGAAGGTAAATGGGAGTGTTTGGGTTGTCCTTTGAAATTGTGTGGGAAAAATGAAGCGGAGGGTTCCCTGACTGGGTGCAAGAGATCTGGAATTTTCCAACTGGCTTTGGTTATGCTGTTGGCAGCAATTTCTGACGCACATTCTGGAGCAAAAAGGTTAGAAAACACGTCAAACGTCCAAGAGACTAATATGCGGTTAAGACAAGGTCAAGTGCAATTGTAGAAACTTGGGGGAGTAATGAAGAGTTTAAAAAATAGATAATAAATGCATGCATCCTTCTATCATGCCAGTTCACAATTTAACATATTGTGTCATATTGTGTAACATAAAGCCTGTTTGCTTTTCTGATTTACACTGTATTTTTTTTTAGTGCAACTAAGACTGTAACTCGTTTACATATCTCTTTAAATATCACATACACTGATTATTGAGCCGTGTCACTGTTTAAATTCACCTCACCCACCCAAACAGGTTTGAAAACCATTTTCAACCAATCAGGGACCCTCTTTCTAACAGCTATATGAGTATGTCATAAGTTTTCTATACCTCCCTCTTCCTCTACCCATTTTTAAACTCTCACTGATGTGCCTAAATGAGTTAGCAAGTTTCGACTTTCGGAATGATCAGCAAGCTGGACAGGTAAGTGAAAACAAAACAAGTGATAGTGAGAGACATGGGGGGGATTTTTTTGTCTATATGCTGTGTGCAGATAAAGCCAACTATCTACCCATCTTTATAAGAACTTATTAATAAAGGAATAAATCAATGCATTGGTGCATTCAGTTCATGCATTTTAATGACATGCAAGGGCATTGACCTGTTTTCAGACTTTCTCCAGTTTCAGAAGGTGTAAATTGAAACTGATAGTTATTTGTGTGATTGTGGGAATGATTCGATGCATGTCTATTTTTACATGCACAAGAACCAAGTCTTAACTCAACCGACTACAAATGACTGCAAGTGTCCCAGTCATGCTGAACAATGTGATCATTACAAGATGCTGCATGGGAGTTTCTGAATTATTCAATTTCTATATGATTGAGGTGCAAAAGTTCCCTTTGATGTGATTGCATTTTATGATTATATTTAATGTGATTACATTTTAGATTTGTTACATTTGAAAGTAACTAAGAACTATTTTTAGCACAATATTACAGTTATTAATAATGTTTCAAACAGTATTTTTTCTTACAATACAAATATCTCAAAATCCTTGCATTTGCAAGTCATTTATTTGAGAATTGGAATTATGTATAAAGACATGTTTTCTGAGAATGTATCTTGAATTATGTTTATTCTTTTTTAAAAGACGTATATATTTTTTTTTTACTGGAAATTAACCCTCTGCTGCCGTTTGGTCATTTTTTACCAAAATTTTGTACGTTTATTTTTTTTTTTTTTTTACTTCATCAGAATGGTACGAAACTTGGTAAAGGTTTTGGTGCTGTGTGAACACAAAAAAATAATGCACATGATTCGAAAAGGTTAAAAAATAGTCTAATGACCGCATTGGAAATGAATGGGAGAATAATTTTATCTATTGGAAACGTTTGGTACTGTGCACAGACAAATTCTTACTGAAAGCAATTTTTTTTTAGATATCAACCTCACATTTGGAACACAACTTGTTTAGATTTCCAGTTTTAGAGTAAAACATGTTTTGGAAAATATATATTTCATATAAAAATTTGAAATTTATTTTTTGTGTGCATTTTTCATAACAATAAATGTACAATTTTTATAACTTTTTCCAAGTTCACTTTTTTAAAACATCTGCCACGTGTCGTGTTTAAAAAGAGAGCAATTGAAGTCTGTGCTCCAAAGCATTTATGATTTATGATGCTCAGGTCTATGCTCAGAAATTGAATAAATGGATTATAAATACTATAATTATATAGTAATAATAATATAATTTACTACCATAAAATCCCCCAAAAATACAAAATATTGAATCATTTCATTGAAATTTCGACACGCGAACAGTACCAGAGGGTTAAAAAAGAGATTTTTTGCAGTGTACTCCATTATCTATTTTTAATGACAAATGTGATGCAAATAAATAACAGAGTGTCATGTTTTACTGTAGTGTTCTCATGACCCAGAGGAAATTCATCTTCCATTATAAGAATGTGCGCTGGGCCCGAGGGAGACACGAGACGTACCTTTGTTTTGTAGTAAAGAGACGCACCGGCCCAGACTCCCTCTCCTTTGACTTCGGACACCTGCGGAATCGCACCGGCTGCCATGTAGAAGTGAGGGGAACATGAACTGATAATGAGAAAAGATATGATCATAAAGGCATTATTATAGAGATAATAACTTTCCTCTTACTCGTTCTTTCTCCATCTGTAACCTTTTTCTCCTGTTTCATCTCAAGCTACTCTTTCTGCGTCACTTGGGTGCATTGTGTCCGGGCCTGTGTGGTTCCAGTGTGGACGGTGCGAGAATATGTTACTCAGTGACCTGGTTCTGCTCCTGGTCGCCCTGCTCTAAATGCGCTCAACAACTTGCCCACTTCCTGTCGCAGACGCCTAACCTGCGTCTGAGAATCTTTGTGTCACGCCTTTACTTCTGTGATGAAGAGGACAGCCTGGAGAGGGAAGGACTGCGACACTTGAAGAGGGCAGGAGTGCAGATCTCTGTGATGACGTATAAAGGTAAATGGGAGGGAACAAAGGGGGGCGTGTTTAATATTTGTGATGCAATGTGGCAAATTACATGCCACACTCTTGTTCTTTATTAGATTCTGTTTTGTTTTTAGACTATTTCTACTGCTGGCAAACATTTGTTGCACGGAGAGAGAGGAGATTTAAAGCCTGGGATGACCTTCAGCAAAACTCTGTCCGACTCGTTCGAAAACTCAATCAGATCCTGCAGGTTACAAATTTAATAATCTTAATACGACACAAGATTATAATGAATACTAAATTTAATCATATCACTCTGACTAGATGACACTGATGTGGCCATTTATAGCAATATTTAGTCATTAAGAAAGTGCCCCACTTTACTTGTATTCACTTTATTTAACGGTAGCTTTTGTGGTTGCGATCCATATATATAAGTAAATATTTGATGAGGTCAGAGGTCATGGCATATTTGTCAGTGCTAAATTACTTCCTTTCTTTTTCACTGTAGCCCTGCGAGACTGAGGATCTGAGGGATGTTTTTACTCTACTCGGGCTATGATCACAAATATGAGATTCACAAATCAATGAACACTGAGATATGAACCGACTGGGATGAAGAGAAATGGAGCTGTATTACCTGAGACTTGAATCCTTTGACTTGAATTTGACCTGATCTTGTACTGTATAGCATTAATGTGGTTATTTTGGATGTCAAAATAAAAGCCGTTATTTGGCATTACCATTTTATCTGTTATAATCCAGTATTATTTTTTAGTATTAACTGTCTGTGGAATGCATGCACTATGTTTCATTCAGTTCAAAATTACAATCTGGGGTCAGTAAGATTTTTTGTATTTTTAAATAAATTATTACAATTATTCAGCAAGGAAGCGTTGATTTTAGATATTTAGACTGCTACAAAAGATTTATATTTTAAATAAATTTTGTTCTTTTGACCTTTTTATTCATTAAAGAGACCTGGAAAAACAGATCATGATTTCCACAAAAATATTAAGAAGAAACATTAATAAGAAATGAGTTTTGGCCATTCATTTACTAAAAAAATGGCATTTTGAGGGCCTGAAAACGCAAGCTGTAGAAAACGGGTTTCAAAGTGCAAGGTTTTGAAAATGATGTCGACTCTTTACCAGTGGCGACCTTAAGCATCTGGGGGCCCGTTTCAATAACTAATATGGGGCCCTACCCACATAAAACATAAACATAATAGAGCAGAAAAAGCAAGGATTCCTGTTGGTTTGCATCAATGGTATATTATTTTATTACGTGTACTTTCAGCTTCATGAACAGGCAGCTCAACATAGAAATAATCCAACCTTATTTGATTAAAACTATAGAATTATACAGCGTTTTACGTTGGAATAAGCCTCGCCCTTTCACGCAGGGTAACTCAATCAATATCCTACGGAGAAAATGAATGGGATTTTGCTGGTCTGTTGGGGCCCCCTTGGGGGGCGGGGCCCGTTTCAATTGAAACGGGTGAAACATAGGTAAGGCCGCCCCTGCTCTTTACCATATCCATGTAAACAACAAAAATGTGAATTTGTGAAAATGGTGACATCATGCTCATGCGTATTACATGTTCGCGGAGTGTTTCTCCACAAAGTAACATCGCCAACTACTGGCCTGGGATAGATAATACAGCCTTTTTAGCAGATCCGTGTGAACCGGGATCGTTTTTGACAGCATTGTTGTCTGTTTTTAGTATATTGTTGTCATGTAAACATACCCTAAGACACAGGAAACCAGGATAGCTACAAGGCCTCAGAGTTGCAATTTGTTATGGCCCCGCTCAAAGGCCACAACAAAAAGAGGAAACCACACTTAAGGGATTACCAGGAAAGGATGTTTATTAACAAAAGTAATTTAGTTTAACCAAAATAACAAATCATTTTTAAAACTTAACGAATGTGGCTGGGAAATAATAATGGCAGGTTAATAAAAAAATATATAAAAAAACACAGCAAAAACAAAAGGAAACGCCGTGCTGGGGACCAGCAAAAGAACAAGCAGTCCAGCCCGCAACAATCAGGAAGGGGCAGGTTTTATGCAATCTAGAGCAGTGGCCAGCTGTTCACCCTGCAACAAAACACAGACAGAGACACACACACAAATACCCTGGCAGAGGCCCCTGGGCCGTCACAAGTGTAACATTGAACATACAAGACTTTGCCATGAAAGAGTGAAAACATATGCAGAGATTAACCAGATAATGAGACACAGGTGGAAGTGATCAAACAATTATGAGTCCAGGCAATGGGTTATGGGAATTGAAGTTCGTTATGGGAAAGCAAGGGAGTCGGGAGGAGTGCCCTCTGGTGGAGATCATGGTTACTCCAGCTGGTGGAGATCATGGGTACTCCAGCTGGTGGATGTAACCATAGATATCCATAATAAAGGCTAGATGTCTTACCATAGCTGTCAACTCTCCCGTTTTTTCCGGGTTTCTCACGTATTTTAGCTCTTTTCCCGCTGTCTTCCCGTTTTAGTATTTTCCCGTAAAATATCCCGTATTTTTACGCTCTGATTGTGTTTAAACTGAGAACACGCAACTATCTGTGTGGCTTGCACTTGGGTTGCTAGACCTCCAGTAAAGTAGCATATCGGTCTTGCCGGTCTTGGGCACCCAACGTAATTTTTGCCGCGCGCACTTTCGCGCTCGTGCTGACGCGTCGAGTATAAACAAATCTTTACTCCGTGTCAGCACGCGCTCTGATCGGTAAAGGAGCACAGACCTCTCCCGAATCATCTCCAGCACTCAGCCTCCGAAGCACCACTAACTTCGTTTCCCACGTAAGCTGATATTGGTATTTAAACAGATCTCTTTGATAAAAAAATGTTTGTAAAAAAATATTTTAATAACACGGTTTTGACGGTTATAGAGTTCTAATGACGGTGTTCAACTATAACCATCGGTCTCACGGTTATATAATAACCGTCACACCCCTAACACACACACACACACACACACACACACACACACACAGTCTCTCTCTACCTCTCTCTCACTCACTCACACACACACACACACACTGTCTTTCTCACACACTGAGAAAGACAGTGAAATCCTAGATTTCCACGACGCATGCGCGAGAACTGAACAAGAAGTAGTAGAAGAAGAACCAAGGGGGTAATCCATCGACCGGAAGTTGAAGCCCGCCGGGTGCCGCCATGTTGTAGCAGAACTTCACTTGCGTTAGCATTTCCATTGACTCCCATTCATTTTTGCGTCACTTTGACAACGAATAACTTTACATCTGAGGCGTTTAAAGACTCCATTTGTCCATTATTTATTTCTAAAGAAACACGACAATGTATAAAGGGCTCCATTACCTTCTATGTTACACTATGGCCCCGTAGAAACAGATTTAGTAAAAATAGGCTAACGATTGCGTCATAACCACTCGACTCTCTGTCGCGCTGTACAGAAATTACCGTACAGACAGCAGGAGAAGCTCGCAGGCAATCGGGAGGACGTCCCGTCAAGGGAGAAGCCCATAGATAATGAGTCCATAAAAGCAACGGAATTCTTACTCCTGCTCACTCACGCCAAATAACTCTTTGCTCAAGTTCCCCGTCTCTGCAAGATTAACGTTGGCAGTTTTCACGCACAGCTACTAGAAGATTAACGTCTGTCAGACAGGTTGCTCACGTCATCAAGCTTAGTTTGAGTCGGTCTGAGTCTGCGCGTCAGGAACGGAAGTGCTCAAAAATCGCTAAAAGTGGGCTTCAACTGTCTCAACTGAGTTCCAATGAGATCGCTCTGTCCATTTCTTTTACTGTCTATGAGAAGAACGTCCTCTTCTCAGTTCTCGCGCATGTGTCGTGGAAATCTCTTGAACTCTCGTCTCAGGCCCACAAGGAAGAAAAGGAATAGTCGAATAAAGTCATTATTTTTGTTTGTTTTTCCGCACAAAAAGTATTCTCGTCGCTTGATAAACTTATAGTTGAGCCACTGTAGTCACTATGACTATTTAAACATTTTCTTCAATGACTTTCTGGGCCGTCAAGTTTCACTCCCTTAGGAAGCCTATGTAGCAGTGATCCAGCTCTCACATTTAATCAAAAATATCTTAATTTGTGTTCCGAAGATGAACGAAGGTCTTACGGGGTTGGAACAACATGAGGGGGAGTAATTAATGACTTAATTTTCATTTTTGGGTGAACTATCCCTTTAAGAGGTTAAGGCCTGGTTTCACAGACAGGGCTTAGACTAAGCCAGGATTAGGCCTTAGTTCAATTAGGACATTTATAGCTTTTATAAATGTGCCTTAAAAAAAACATTACTGGTGTGCATCTTGTGAAAAAACAATGGAACCAATGTAGCCTATTTTAAGATTATGCAAGTTGCTTTCGGTTAAAACAGCTCAAACATGCATTTTAGTCTGGGACTATATAAAATGAAATGTGCAAGTATATAACTTTGAACATCAGTAATGATAATTTGAATTGCTTTGCAGTGTAAGTATCATAACAATGTAGCCTATTGTAACGTTTAAGCTCAGTTTTGGTTTAATTTCCACTGTGTTTTGGTCCTGTTTTGCCTGCCTTATTCCTCTAGTTAGTTTTCTTTTGTTCTCATTTTCCCGCCACTAGTTAGTTTCCATGGTTATTTATTCATTAAATAGATCACATGTTTGCCTTCAGTTTCGTATCTTGTGTATTTAAGATTTTCAGTTCTTTGTGTTCAATTCCTGGTGTTGGTTGTGTTTGGAATACCTTTGTTTTAATTTATTAAAGCAATTTTTTATTTGCATGCTAACCTTCTTCTTTGTGGACCAAAACGTGATGCCTGTGTAAATTCATGAATATGGTTTTTTATTTATATACCATTTTCGTAACAGGGGGTCACTGCTCCACCAATAGATACACATGTAAACATATCTATGGCTCCACACACCAAGAGGTCCTTGGCCAGGGGGTTGAAGATTGGAGACCCATCCTAACATCCTAATTTGACCAAATTGGGTAAACTCAGTGAAATTCTTATATACAGCAGTTGTTTACACAGCGTATACATCATGTGTATTGTTGAGGCTGGTATGTTAGGCTACTGTGTGGGCGATAGTGCAACGTTTTTATGCAGTTCTGCCCACATTTTCTCAAGTTTATCAACATTTCTTGATTCTGGACAGTGACCATATGTTGCTTTCTTGAAACATCCGTGCTTACAAATTCAGCATAAACCACCAGGAATTCACAATGTAGTCTAAAACACACACACACACACACACACACACACACACACACGCACGCACGCACGCACGCACGCACGCACGCACGCACGCACACACACACACTCACATACTCACATACATACTTATAAAACTTATAAAAGTCGAAGATTACTTAACTTATTTTGATGAGTTAAGGTAATGTAAAAATTATGTTGTCATAACTTATTGATCATATTTTTTTTTTTACAGCATAGACTGAATTCTCTCCTCAACTTTAAATAAATATTGTTTTTTATTGAAGATCATACAGAATCAGAATTTTGGATCTTCTGGAAACACTAAATAAATAATGGGTAATTTATTCAATTTGATACGTCAACACTCTCAGTATTATACCAAGGTTTGAAAATAAGCAGCGTTGTCATAATTGCAGCAGAAATACTGGAAATGTCTTAGCCGAATTATTGTGTTGTACAAAAGAGGTCTTTGAGTCAAAAAGAAAACACACTCTGATTTAAATATGCCTGATGAGAATTCTAGTAAATTTGAGAAGATAAAGGTAACCACACAGTTCCCTCTGTATCCCTGTTTCCCTTGTGTCCAGTAGAGGGATCTGTTTCCCATCCATGTTGTTGTGGAAACCATGAGTGACTCAATTGCATTGTGCTCTGAGTCTGGATCTAATGGCAAGTAAAAAAGTTCTTCAACCTGAATGAAAGACTGTCGTTTTGTCTCATGAATATAATGTACGAAACTACTCAAACACTGCGGGTGTAGAAAGGTACAAATCGCATTTATAAAGCATTTCCAGTGATTATGATTTCAAAACCAGGAAGAAGAGAAAGAACAAAGTAACAAAGATTTCTGTCTTCCATCTGTTTACAAATCAGTAAACATATTGTCTCAAAAATGTGTTATTCATGACCACAGTGAGATCAGTAAACCATTTCAGGCACTGCAGGCACAGGCCATGAATAAAATCATGACATCATTTCTATTATTTATCTCCACTTATCAAAACAAAGAATTACTCAGAGAATACACTTGTATCACAGATGTTTTGTTTCCCGGACAGGTCTTGTGTTCATTCACAGCAAGTTGCTTTCAGCAGTCTTTTTATCATGTCTGTCGCCCCCTACTGTTTGATCTATCTATAACATTATATGATACTACATGCAAATGGGCCTCTTTGTTGTTAAAGACCCCATGAAATCAAAATTGACCATTCTTATTTTTTAAAGTCCCTGTGAAACGGAAGTTGCAAACGACTTTACTTCATTGTGACCTATTTCAGCCCGTTCTCATCCCAAGGCGTCATATACTGACGCTTTTCCCAAAGCGTCTATATCCAACGCACATGGCACCCTTTAGCGTCAATATGAGACGCAGATATATGGCGCCTCCTAGTGGTCTAACCCTAACACTACCCCAGACCTAAACCTACCCATAACCGAAGCGTGTTATATTGACCCTAACGCCGCCTTCACACTGGCAGTTGAAATCAGCTCCGATACGGCTCCGAAACGACCGGAAGTCATTCATTTCCTTTGGAGATTCGCAGACCGCATGCGAATGGGTCCGAAATGGGTCCGACCGAGTGCGGTGCGAAAAAAATCGTGTCCGTTGGTCATCCGGATGCGTTCAAAAATTGAACTCTTGCGAAAAGCTACGGACAGTTCCTATCCGACAATTCCAGCGGAAGTTAGCGTTGCTATGATACTGATAAACAAACCTGAATTCTTAACTTTTAATAAAATAAATAATGATTTTAGTTTTCATGTCATTTTTTTATTTTCATGATTTTCTAACGTTATTAGGGCAGTTAATACAATTAAATTGTAGGCAGACATCGAACTAAATGTGATAGTGGTATAAATTATACCACTATATCACATTTTTTAGCCGACCTGACGTGTCAACGTCCTGAGCAACTTTCCTCACGCAGCAGCCTTCCTATTAATATCTCTATAACCCTCATCAGAGAGATCATACAGAACTGACAGAATCAACCTGTCTAATCTCTCCGCCATTTTTGTTCTACCCGCTTCCAACGCTTTTCACTGTGTAGTACAACGTCCGTTGGGGGCGTATTGCGTATTACGGAGCTGATTTCAACTGCCAGTGTGAAGGCGGCGTAAAGGGTGCCATGTGCGTCGGATGTAGACGCTTTGGCAAAGGCGTCAGTATATGACGCTTTGGGATGAGAATGCGTTGCCTATTTCCAAGGCTATTTCACTTCATGTGAATTTGCGGTTTCGTGGCCTTAAATTGCGCGTGCTCGCCAAGTGTACGAATCCGTAGGGTGTCCCATTCGCCATTTCAGTGCTCAGAAGTGTGCTCACGAGCGCCGCACTTTCGCACCCTCTGCACGAGTTACCTACCCAGGAATCATTGCGAACGCCCAATCAGATAAATGAGGGGAGGAGTTTCGTGGCTGTTTGACTTTCGGTGGCATGATGCCATCAAGCCTGTCCCAAAATACACTCTCGCGTGCCCTCCTGGACTCGAGGCCAGCGCCCCTTAGGTCTGCACTTCCTGACGTCACCAAGTGTGAACTCGAAGGAGGTCCACAAGTCCGGAGTGTGCCATTTGGGATCCAGCCCAAGTGAAACTGAATATTGAATAGAGGGCGGGGTTTTACTTTAGCGCACCTCCTCTCCATCCCTCGCTCATATCAGACTGATGGTTGGAGGAGAGGTGTAAGGATATTCAACCCAAGCCGTCAAACTGATGTCATCAGAGAAGGAACGCCATTCCAGAGCAGTAGCAAATTTCAGATTTTCATGATTACCATGTCAAACAATTTTTTGAGTATTAATTAACTTGCACGGATTAATTGTTCACCACAAGACTAGCAATGTGCTAACAAAGTAAATAGGGTAAATTTGATTTCATGACAACTTTAAAAGATTAGTGATTTATCCATGACATCATTTTTTTTTAATACATGATTATGATATTTAATCTGTTCTGGTAGTTTTCTATAATAACAGGTTATCCTAAAATCCCATGTTAAACACAACAATTACATCCTGACATATAAAAACAGGAAAGTCCAAAACAAATTAGTCTGATCTTTGAGAGTAAAACATTAATTCTGAAATATATAAATTAAACATATAAACATTTTTATTTGCTATTGTGGATGTTGTCATTTACTTACAGTGGTTGGTGTGGACATATACAATATACTAGAAGAATATAAAGCACATATAGTGGTTATACAGTGGGCTTCTTTAACATTCAGCACCAGAGCTGTGCATTGTCATGCCCTTTGTGATCCTATCAAAATACAATCTTAAAACTTAAACTCTGAGACATTCAGCCAAGCTTATTTCAGTTCCAAGCACAAACTTTAAAATGATAAAAAGGTGATGAAAAGTGATAATGAACAGTAATGATTGTGTCCGCTTCGTTTGTTTTAGGAACACAACATTAAAGAAATCAACATTCAGATTTATATAGCTGTATTTGTTGGAACCAGAACTCTCTTCTTTTACTCTCTGACTTTGTCATCCATCTGACTTTAGGCCTTGTTTGCCCAGTTTTTTGGGTAGCCACGGCGACAGTGTCTCTTAGTTGTCCTCTTTTGGCGTTTTGGCCACCCAGATTTCTCTCTACAGAGTTCAGCTTAAAGAGAGAGAGAGAGAGAGAAAGAGAGAGAGTACTTACCACCATAAGATTGTGTTTTTATTTAGGATCAAATAAATCAGCCTTGGTGAGCATAGAAGTCTTCTTTAAAAATCTTTTTTTACTGATTCTAAACTTTTGAATGGTAGTGTAAGATAATAAAGTCTCCCTGTAGTCAATCATTTTATCCCTTTAAACTCACCTTTGATCACCAAAATTACATATTTAAACGTTTTTTTTTTCTGTGAAATGTAACTGTACACCCTTGCCTCATTTAGTATATGCGGTTCTATGAGTATGAAAGTTAGACCCGCCTCCACTCACTCACACCAGCTCATAGATCCACTTGTTGACGATCACATGTTAACGTGATTGGTTACAAGATAGTTTTCACCACAGGGCGACTTTAAGAATATACAGATAGCCTACATTCTCTGAAAATAATCTTAATCTTTTTAATATGAATAATATCTAAATATTATTTTTAATATTCAGCAATTCTTAATATCACACTGTAAAAAATTATATGATCAATAAGTTGACAACATATGTTTTTACATTGCTTTAACTCATCAAAATAAGTTAAGCAATTTTCAATGTTTTTTATAAGTTACAAGATTCAACTAATTTTTTAATACACTATATCATAACAATATACACTCACCTAAAGGATTATTAGGAACACCATACTAATACTGTGTTTGACCCCCTTTCGCCTTCAGAACTGCCTTAATTCTACGTGGCATTGATTCAACAAGGTGCTGAAAGCATTCTTTAGAAAATTTGGCCCATATTGATAGGATAGCATCTTGCAGTTGATGGAGATTTTTGGGATGCACATCCAGGGCACGAAGCTCCCGTTCCACCACATCCCAAAGATGCTCTATTGGGTTGAGATCTGGTGACTGTGGGGGCCATTTTAGTACAGTGAACTCATTGTCATGTTCAAGAAACCAATTTGAAATGATTCGAGCTTTGTGACATGGTGCATTATCCTGCTGGAAGTAGCCATCAGAGGATGGGTACATGGTGGCCATAAAGGGATGGACATGGTCAGAAACAATGCTCAGGTAGGCCGTGGCATTTAAACGATGCCCAATTGGCACTAAGGGGCCTAAAGTGTGCCAAGAAAACATCCCCCACACCATTACACCACCACCACCAGCCTGCACAGTGGTAACAAGGCATGATGGATCCATGTTCTCATTCTGTTTACGCCAAATTCTGACTCTACCATCTGAAAGTCTCAACAGAAATCGAGACTCATCAGACCAGGCAACATTTTTCCAGTCTTCAACTGTCCAATTTTGGTGAGCTCTTGCAAATTGTAGCCTCTTTTTCCTATTTGTAGTGGAGATGAGTGGTACCCGGTGGGGTCTTCTGCTGTTGTAGCCCATCCGCCTCAAGGTTGTGCGTGTTGTGGCTTCACAAATGCTTTGTTGCATACCTCGGTTGTAACGAGTGGTTATTTCAGTCAAAGTTGCTCTTCTATCAGCTTGAATCAGTCGGCCCATTCTCCTCTGACCTCTAGCATCAACAAGGCATTTTCGCCCACAGGACTGCCGCATACTGGATGTTTTTCCCTTTTCACACCATTCTTTGTAAACCCTAGAAATGGTTGTGCGTGAAAATCCCAGTAACTGAGCAGATTGTGAAATACTCAGACCGGCCCATCTGGCACCAACAACCATGCCATGCTCAAAACTGCTTAAATCACCTTTCTTTCCCATTCTGACATTCAGTTTGGAGTTCAGGAGATTGTCTTGACCAGGACCACACCCCTAAATGCAATGGTTGAATAGATAATTGCATTAATGAGAAATTGAACAGGTGTTCCTAATAATCCTTTAGGTGAGTGTATATAACAAGATGGTCCATTCAAAAATCACAAGTTCCAATTCACATTAGTGGGACGTTCTGTAGTTTGTGACTGTCTCACCCATCAGGATCTCGTCTTGCTGGCACACGGTCCTCACACAGATCTCTTTGTTGATCACATAGACTCTTGGAAGACTGGAGGAAACAGATGTCATTTATTTCATATGCACCATGTCAAATAAAAATCTCGTTTTGTATGTTCAGCAGAGGAGAATGTCAGCAGGAAAGAGAGTTCTGTGTTAGTCACCTGTAGAGACAGAGAGAGTGAATACATCTCTTTATCGGTCGATGAACCGAGTACATCCTGGTGCAGGGGTATGTTTCCTCTCTGCAGTCTGTGGGACAGAAGCAAGACTGTTATTGTCTTGATACAAATGGCGTACTCGCATATACTGCATATACAAACTCACCTGGTGGTGGCAAAGCAGAAACATCAATGTCCTGTGTTTCTGGCAAGAAAAAGAAAAACACAGCAAACTAAAAGCGTGTACGGGAGACCAGGGCTAGTTATCACGCTTTTGACTCAGGGTAGGTTTATTTTTGAAAGTCAGTGTGTGTAAAGACACATTAATACTTAATACTTTAAGTCTTGGCTACAAAAACGCTGAAGAACATTTCTGCGTTATGACCAAGGAAACAGATACAGTTCATTTAACAGGCAAATGGGTGAGTCGACACAACAAGGACTTTTGAGGCAGTATGAGAAGAATGCCTTTTTTGAAATATGATTTATAATAGAAATAATTAATAAAATACTTTATCTTTAGACAAGAGAGCCATTTTCTACAAACAGCAGTTTTCATCCTTTTTTTAAATTTACTAAAACTAAGAGTGGCATTACAAATTAATTTAATGAAATATTAATATTATAAACTAGGCTAAATTTATAACAATAATATTTAACTAAAATGATTTAATAAAATATATAAATAATCTTTTTGAATGTTCTTTAGGGTTTACACTTTTTATTACCAATGAATTTATATGACTTTTAGTCATTTGTGATTACAAGGTTTTAATTATTTTATTTTTTTACTTACAAATAGCAATTTCTACCAGATGAAATATTTTTAGAGGTTGACATAACTCGAAATAAATATATACGTTCATTAGAAATATTTTCTTGACTTTTTTTTATTGATTGATTTTCTTGATTTTTTTTATTACTTTTTAGACTTTTGGTAAAAAATAACAATACATTTAAATTATTGTAAAACACTAATTATTCATGAAACAGCAAAAAAAAAAAAAATTTATTTAAATGACAACAGATAAAACATGACAACTTGCCCCTGACATGTAATAGATGTTTGAAACCAATGTCAAACTACTCTTGAAAAAGCACACACACACACACACACACACACACACACACACACACACACACACACACACACACACACACACACACACACACACACACACACACACACACACACACACACACACACACACACACACACACACAATCATTTTAACAAAACAGTGTCATAGTGAATTACCAGCTTGTTGTGCCCGGACAGTAACAAGTACTGTGAGAGAAGAAGAAAAAAAAGCAGAAAAGTTTTGTTGGCTGGGCATTCAAAAGGAATCATTCATTCATATTAATTAAATGAATTGGCTTCTGTTTGGTTGTTTTGATGAACTTACCAAAGAGACAACAGCATAGCAGCACAGAGACTGGATAGCTGCCCATCTTTCAGGGTCTTTACGGGGTCCGATCACAGCTCAGGGCCTGGAGAAAGAGAGAGCATCAACGGTTATGAGCATGTTTATCATAACAACCCCGAAATAGCTTTCAGAGTATTCAAAATTAAAGTGGATGGTATGGAAGACTGTTTCATCTTCAGAGTAAAAAATAAAATAAACTAAGATTATAAGTTTATTGTTGAGATATAGTAAGAATTAATACATTACATTTACATTTACATTTATTCATTTAGCAGACGCTTTTATCCGCTTTTATACATTACCGTCCAAAAGTTTAGGGTCAGTAAGATTCTTTTTGAAATAATTTTCTTATGCTTACCAAGACTGCATTTATTGATAAAAAATACAGTAAAAACAATAATATTGTGAAATAGTATTACATTTTAAAATAAGTGTTTTCTATTTTAATATGTTTTAAAATGTAATTTATTTCTGTGATGCAAAGCTGAATTTTCAGCATCATTACTCCAGTCTTCAGTCACATGATCCTTCAGTAATCATTCTAATATGATGATTTACTGCTCAAGAAACATTCCCTTTTATTATCAGTGTTGTGTTACTTAATATTTTTGTGGACATTTGTGATAATTTTTCCCCCAAGATTTTTTGATGATTAGAAAGTCAAAAGAACAGCACTTATTATTTATATCCTATTTTGTTTTGAGAAACCTTTCAGCCCAGTCACTAACCGTGTGCCGGCAGAACAGATAGGCCCTGTTGCACTTCCAAAATATAACCATTTATAGGCATCCTCGAAAGACTTGGACAAAATATATAAATTCTAAAAGAATTCTGTATGAGAAGAAGGCAGACCAACCTAGATTTCCATTTGCCTCTGACTCATGCAGATTCTCATTTATTGATGTCACAGAACATAAGTTCTCTGTTCTCAATCCCTCATTAAAGATATCAGTTACAGCTGTTCCATCCGTCCAGCTTTGTCTGTTTCCTTGTCTCTCCCCAAGTCTTTTTTTAAGCCTGTATTTCTCGGTGTCCAAGACATGAGCTCACACTAAAGAATGTGCATTCCCACCCCTCCCTGTGGACTCAACAAAATCACACACACACACACACACATGCTTACATATACACACAGATGCATAAAATCATACAAACTCATACATAAACACATATGCACTCATATGCATTCCCTCAGACCATAGTTTCGCCTGAAGGATCAATTCCATATTCATAAACTGACAACTCAAATGTAGAGTGCATGCATCAACACACAGTTTACACTCACATTCGGCATTATTTTTCATTTAAAGTGTGTATTTCTTATACCGCTGCATGTTTTTTCAAGAGTAATGCAGATTTTTACATATTCATCTAATTAAGATTCTTTACTACCCACATTCTGAATGCATATCTTCTGTTTTACTGTGTGCATGTTAAAAGCAATGACTAGATGATGTGTTATATGATGGTAATGATGTAATATTCTAAAAAGAATTTGTTTTTATAATACTTACAAATTTCCAAACCTCTGTTGCTCCTTCTGTTTTTCAGAATCCTTTGGCTTTTACTTTCCCCTCCCTTTCTCTTCCCTCGCCTCAACATCCCTCCGCCTGTCTCTCTCTCTTTCTCTCTATTGCTCATTCGCTCTTCCCATTTTAATCCAAATTTTGGAGTTGTAGCCCTTATAGATAATATGGTTTTATAAAAATAATTGTATGGGGGCTTGACCTTATAATTTGGTCTTGGGCCCTGTTTGTCATGTGGTGGAAGGATGAACCCAATTGCAGACAATATGCAAACACACAAGGTTTATTTATAACAGAAAACAGGGAAAACAAAACCCACGAGGTGGTAAAACAGAGGTAAGGAAGGTCTTCTCACAAGCAAGACTATAACTAGACTAAGAACTGGGATATACTACATACAACTCTTCAGACATAAAACTCTTACTTGACAAGGACTTCTCAGCAATGATACAAACACAGGCAGGTTACACATTGATTGACAATGAACCGACACAGGACAGCAAACACAAGGGGATGATATAGGGAGACACTAATGACAAGAACAGGTGAAGCGGACTAGACAATAATGGCAAGACGAGGATAACAAGGAGGCGGGGTAATGTAACGAGACAACACAAGCACATGGCCCAAACAAATGGCCATGTGCTTGTACACAAAACATAGGTCTGTCATGATCCTGCCTCAAGACTAGAGAAATACAAAGACACAAGGGCAGAATCATGACAGAACCCCTCCCTTAAGGAGCGGCTACCAGACGCTCCTCAAGGGAACTTCAAATACGGGACATGACTGACTGTGACAAAGACACAAACCAACAAAACATAACAAATAACAGCAACGGTAAACATGAAAAAACAATTACAGGGTTGGGGTGAAACAATAAAAACAACAAACAAGGAAGAGGGGGTGGGGGAAACACAAAGTCCATAGGGGGTAATCCATGGTGAATAGGTGGACTGGGGGTCTTGGGTCTTCGGGACGAGGGCTGAGGACGGAGAATCTGGCGGGACTTGGATGGAGACACACGAGGAACATTCTTGGGGGAAACAGTCCAGGGAGAAGTGGTGACAGGGGCGTCCGGGGAAACCCACAGGGGTACAGAGGGCGGCGAAATGGGAAACCTGACCAGGGGAACAGCAGGTAAGGGGACTAGGCGCATGACAGGGGGAGATACAGGCGACTGTGGAACATGGAGAGATGATGCTGCGGCTGGTTGCGGAGCTGGAACGGGGTCAGCGAACTCTACAGCAGAACCAGTACCAGCGCTCTTCACATCAGACGCTCCCCATCTCAGATTCAGAAACAGCGTAGCCTGCAACCGACTCTGGAAGAGCGTTGTCTGAGGCTGACTTGGACCCAGCGTTCTCTGCAGCTGATACAGGGACAGCACTCTCAGCAGTCGACTCGGTGACAACTCTGCCTGCAGTTGACTCAGGGACAGCACTCTCGGATGCTATGGGTACAGGACTTGAGGGTATGACAGGAACTTCTAGTAACTTGACAAAACTAGAGAGGTAATCGGACAGAGTCTTGGCCACAATGACGACAGGCATTTCTTGGCGGGCCGATACAGACTGCAGGACAGCTTCAGCCGCCAAATCGACCGCGGCTTTCACATCAGCTGATTCACAAGTAGAGATAACAGCGGAAACTTCTGGAACAGCCTCTTCTGCAGCTGACTCCGGAGCAGCTTTCTCTGCCGCAGACTCAGAGCAACCTTTAACTGCAGCAGCCTCAGGAACGACTTCCAGAACAGCAGGTTCAGGAACCACTTTCTCTGCAGCGGATTCGGGGACAGTTCTCTCTGCAGCAAATTCAGAAGTAGCTTTCTCTGTTGCAGCGGCGGGTTGGAGAACCAACACGGACTTGGGAGAAGACTGACACGGAGAACAGACGATTCCCTTCCTCCTCTTCTTTCTCCTGGGTCGCGGGGCAGAGGCCGTAGCCGGACCTGTGACCGGGCGGAAAGGTTCAGCGGAGACCGTAATTGGTGTTGGAGAAACCACCGCAGACAAGGAGGACTCCGTCGAGGAGGAATCTGATGCCGACTCCCACGAGACACGTCTTCCCCGTTTGCCGGGGAGACTTGTTGGTGCGGACGACGCCTCGGGAGTCGAGGGGGAAGGAGCCTGGTTCCCCAGCGTTACCATGGCTAAAACGTGACCCTCCGGGATCACAGACAGCCTGGCAGGAGGTGACGACACGGTGGGCCCCTGCGACTCCTTTCGACACAAACAGTCCACCATGTCCCGGAACGGGCGGCGGACCAGCCTCTCCCGTTCAGCCAGAGGAGGGGGAACATTGAGACCCGCGATGAGGTAACGGTTGGCGAGGATCTGCAGGTAAGAAAAGCCTCCTTGCTTCCATGGCCTGGGCATATTTCCTCAGGGACCTCTCTCCCTGGGGAGGGAAAGGAAGCTTGCCTAACTTGCTGTCTGCGATAGCCGACTGCCACCATAATTCCTGGTCAGTCGACTTTTGAATAGCAGAAAAAGACATACAGTCTGCTGGGTTCTGTAATGGTCGGTTCATTCTGTCATGTGGTGGAAGGATGAACCCAATTGCAGACAATATGCAAACACACAAGGTTTATTTATAACAGAAAACAGGGAAAACAAAACCCACGAGGTGGTAAAACAGAGGTAAGGAAGGTTTTCTCACAAGCAAGACTATAACTAGACTAAGAACTGGGATATACTACATACAACTCTTCAGACATAAAACTCTTACTTGACAAGGACTTCTCAGCAATGATACAAACACAGGCAGGTTACACATTGATTGACAATGAACCAACACAGGACAGCAAACACAAGGGGATGATATAGGGAGACACTAATGACAAGAACAGGTGAAGCGGACTAGACAATAATGGCAAGACGAGGATAACAAGGGGGCGGGGTAACGTAACGAGACAACACAAGCACATGGCCCAAACAAATGGCCATGTGCTTGTACACAAAACATAGGTCTGTCATGATCCTGCCTCAAGACTAGAGAAATACAAAGACACAAGGGCAGAATCATGACACTGTTAGGCAGTCCTGCATGGGTGATTTAGATTTTTGTGTTCTGAACCAGAATATGTATATGTATAAATTATATATATATATATATATATATATATATATATATATATATATATATATATATATAATGATGTTCTTCAACAATGTCATTCTTTTGTGAGAAATTCCTAGTAAAAAAGAAATCTGCCTATTGTATTACTTTTGTAATTCACTACTGTGCCTACATGGTGAATGTGATTTTACCAGGTTGAGGCAACTTTGTTGATCCTGGAACAACATTCCAATAAACCAGATTTGAGGGACAAGTTTACAGTTTATGTCAAGTTTAGATTTACAACCAGGGTTAGGTGCTTCTACATCAGTATTATTCACCTGTCATTTCCTTTTGATTTTAGGGATAATTTATGGGTAGGGTTAAGTTTATGGGTAGGGGTAAGGTTAGGGTTAGGACTAAATCTTCGGACTCAAATGTTTTTCCAGGATTAACTAAATACATTGACCCAGGAACATGTCTTACTTGGCAAAATCACAGTGTCTGTGCGGACCATGGTACGGACATATAATCTATCCACCAGCAGGCGTCACCACAGAGCAGTGATTGGCTGTTCTGAACATGCCTGACAGCCAATGATCACCATACATTTTCATTGTATGAAAAAGAGATTATTTGACATTTTCATAATAACTGTTTTCCATAGGTAATAAAAATTACATAAAAGTTAACATTTAAGTATTAATTCACATTAATAATTATAATAACAATTACTATTATTATTATTATTAACAAGTTAAGTGAACAGAAGAGAATGTCAAAATAAGGGTTCACATAACAGAACATAAACCTGAAAATAAGCTCGTTACTAGGCTATTTTTATATGTATAACTGAATTAGTTCCGATCCTCGAATCTGACTGGACAAAATCGGCTTTCTGCTGATATTTCATGTCCAGTATCATCGTCTTCATCTTAAATTGTTACTCCACTAGGTGACGGCAAGGCAAGGGACTGTCGAGTGAGTCATTAAATCGTTCATTCAACGAACACGTTCAAAAACGCTGTGTTTACTCTGTAAAAGTGAATTTTGCTCATTTGGTCCACTTTAAAGTAATTTCCTAATGTAGTTTCACTAATGTTAGACAGTGTAGTGCTCATTTTGTAAGGTTAATCTTCAAGTTTCAGATTTAGCCAGATTCATAGGGTTAATCTTTATAGACAACATATTAGACCGACATTCTGATTTAGGGCTGGCATGTAAATGAAAGGAAAGTTACCACTGCTGAAAAAAAAACCCTGCAAATACTGACCCTAACCCACAACCTCTATATGAATCAAAATCAGTTTTGAATAGGGGAAACCCACAGTGCCACTGGGATGGTTGGTTTAGTATTGACCTTTAGCTTAACTGGTGGCTTCTTTAGG